AGAATATAGCGGCATTCGTAAAACTTTTGTTGGTCAAATTTTTAAGTTTTTGAAAAATATGATGAACTCGTAACCATTATTGGCTCTGGTACCAACTGTGGCAGAACCGCCCGAAATAGCATACTTACGGAGGCGCTCGTCTTCCACCAGACACTAAGCACCCCGAAAGCGAGCTACAACGAGCGGTGTCCGTCGGGCACACCCAGAGGGAGAACCCGAAAGATCCACATTTTTCCCAATGATCCTATAATGACAACGAGTTACAACACAAGTTCATCTCATACATTAAAGTTCTTAAAAGTACATTATTACAATACCAAATACAGAGTGCGGAATGATAACAGCGGAATTTAAAAATAACATCTAGTGATAAGGGGGCGAGGATTCCGTTTGAGCCCACCAGAAGGATCCTCCACACAAGGTACTCTTCAAGCATCACCTGCAACAGGGGTAAATAAACCCTGAGTACACAATGTACTCGCAAGACTTACCCGACTAGTGGGAATAATTTCCCGACTCCAAGGAATATGATAAGCTTTATGGCTTGCTGGTTTTCTTTAGCAGAAAGCAATACTAATAGTGAGTCCTTATTTATGTATCATTATTATCAGCCGTATTAGGTTATCATCTAGCCAGTCTATAAAAGCATCTATTCTACATTCAAGCAAGGGTTGAGCAATCAGTTATATTTCTTCTCCTTTCTTCGCTTTCAGTTCTTACTATGGTGCTAAACACGAGACAAGCCGTATCGGATCGCCCGACGATTCGCGAATCAATATGCCCAGCTGGGTGCCCCGAAAACACACGCCCCGCTTGTACCCCAGGCACAAGCAGGACTAATCCATCACCCTCCTATCCCGGGTGTCCACGTCCTCGTCCAAACTTGGACTCCAAGCCCCCACATCCTGAGTCCCGGACTCAGTGTGGTGCAAGGACCTCCACCACCTCCTCTTCCCATCAGTCGGTCTGGAAAGAGCCAGATCCGCGACAAGAGAGCAACAAGTCTTTCCTGCACCCATACCCAAGTATGCGCTCAGGACAATAAATCTGTGACTTGCCCATGATGCCTTATGCAACGACCGGTCCTTAATCGATACAGACAAGGAAAAAATATAACCGAGCTATGCTCTGTTGGCCGTAGGACACAACCCTTTACACCCACCAATATCCAAACCATATCCCTGCCCGGTCACCATTTACCTTTCCATCATTTTATCATGAGTGTTCATATTTTATTACCTATTTGCGAGTAACGGTAGGTTACTCACGCTACCGATATCCTGAGCATAGCAGCTACTCGACCTGTACTAGTAGGACTCAGGGGTAGATATATTTATGCATGTAGTTTTCATAAAATGCTTGTAACTTAAATGCATATCACACATATATATTCAGTGATCATAAAAATATGGGTTATGCACCGGGGCTTGCCTTGGGCAGGCGCGGGGTCAGTAGGGTAAACACCAACAGGCTCCTGAGCGTCCTCCTGTGCGAAGATCTCCTCCTCGTACTCCTCGATCTCCTCGTCGTACTCCGGCTCGCCGACGGGCACGAAATCTACCAGTTCGTGATCTACATGAAATGATGATGCAACGCTTAGGAATATAACATCAGTAGCTTTTACAATAATAGTACATTGATTTAACTACTAAGCTATTGCTATCGACCACAAGCGTAAAGTATGGCATTCATCATTATTACAGCCACTACCGGTATTTTTACTCCTAACGCTGATTTATGCTATATACAAATAAACAAGGGTAATATCTACTCTATTTAGCAACTCGTTCTAAGGCTATAAAATTTACAGCATGTACCTAATATCCTATTGAACCTACTGTAAACTTTTCAAAGCTAAAACCATTACCGATTTGCCACAAGAATTCCTACACATATTAATCTACATAATACTAAGCTTTCTAATTAGAATTTATGAGCCTATCATCATAATAGCTAACTGTGAACTAACTACACTAACAAATAGAGGGCATTTTTGTGAACCTAACAAACTTAGTTTCACTATTTTTGGACAACTACATAATTTACTACAATTTTATCAAAGCTCAGCTTGAAAACTAATTGAAATAAGCAATTCTATTTTAGTGGAAATCAAGAAAACGAATGCTAACTCGCGGCCCACCCACGTGCGGCTCGGACCAGCAACGGTGGCCCAGACGTGAGCGCGCGGACGCGGCCTAGCAGCGGCAGCGCGGGCGCTAGCGTGAGCTGGCCCAGCAGCGGACGGGGCGCGACGCGAGCGTGTGGGCATGGACGCGAGCGCAAGCGCGGCCCAGCGGCGAGCGGCACGAGCGTGGCCCAGCAAGCGGCACCGGATCGAGCGCTGCCCGGCAGGCCGGCTCACGGTGGGGGCACGGGCACGCTGACGGCCCCAAGCGGAGGCACGGGCGCAGCTGGCCCAGGCGCTGCGGCGCGGCTGCAAGCGCGGGAAGCTGGCCCATGCAGCTGCTGCGTGGACGCAAACCGAGCAAGCGTATTCCTACGTATTCGGGATTTGTTTTCCTACACGAAAATGGCCATAAAACCGGTGTGACGTGGGGGTGACGTCAGGATGACGTCAACAAGCTAATAACAACAGTAACGCATCACCGCTGCTCTGTTTGCTCTGCTCTGCTCGGGACGTGGTTTCGCCGGCCGCGGAGAGGATGCTATTGGGCGGTGGAGCTTCGAATGAGTGGGCAGAGCGATACGCAGCTGGAGGAGAAGCTAGCAGTGTGGTGGATTGAAATGGCCAGCTTTGGTTGTGCGGCATGTCAACGACGCAGACCACTTTGGTCTTATGGAGCCAGCGGAACTGCGCTTCCAAAATTGAGACACAGTGAGGCGCTACAATCGACGAGGTGGGGTCAATCAAGTTGCTGGCTATCTAGCGGAGCCGAGGATGCGACAATTTGATTGGATTGTTGCGGTTGAGTGCGGTGGCAGGCAGCTGAGGCAGTAGTGGTGACCACAGTCAATGATGGCTTTGTCTAAAGTAGGTGACATGCACGGTTTTTAAAGCAGTCGTGAAATCCTACCCAATGGTCCAAACGCCAAACCAATTCTTTTAGACGCAAGAGGGTACGTAGGACTATCGACCCATGCCACGACACCATCCTACTATCTAAGCCGATTTCTCTACAAAAACTGTCGAACGTGGCTTCGTCGATCCGTTTTTAACTTACGCGAAATGACTTAAACTTCGAACGATTTCGCATCGAATTCCAATTCCGACCTACTTGTTTCATTGTCGACTACTGAGTACGTACTACAAATTTTATTCACATACACGCTCTACATCATTTTTATTCAATAAAAATTCGTTTAGAATACTAAACAATATAAAGTGACATGAAACTTAACATTTATTTCTTGTTTCGGATAAACGTTTCAAATGCCGTATATTGATTGATACTCCAAATTACACACATGTACAAACAAGCATGATGCTCATGCAGCGTTTTAGCAAACACAGTACAATGTAACACCGAGGGTGTTACAGAAGGTCTTGGTGCCTATTTATCCCTGTCTGTGTCGGTTAAGGATCGATTCGTTGTAGTCCTCATGTCATATTGAACGCATGTCTAGTACTTAGCTGGCCGGATAAGTTGTTCCGACCGCGAAGCCGAGTAGCTCAATTCAGACCGGGCCCCGCTAAGTGAAAGTGCGCACATTGGAGGCGTAAGGGATGTGCGGAGAGCCAGTGGCGTGAGTCCAAGGGCAGGCCAGGCCTGAACTTCCTGGCAGACTGGTAGAATCTCTAAGGGTGCGGCGCTGATCGGACCCACAAAGTTGGTTCCTGAGTTATACCAAAGGTGACCCGATGCGACTCCGATGGGGGAAGTATGGGTTTACGTTAGGAATAATTCCTCAGCTGGGTTGGAATCGATTCGAGTCGCCGTCTCTCCCGGATAGTGAGAACTTGACTGAGCATCGACAACGTAGCATTAATTGATGGAACTTGATGGTTATGATGATGCTCAAATTATTACACCGGATATGGTTACTAATGTTTGTTAACTTAATCAAGTGATTGCTCTAGTACAGGTGTTAATCTAGAGATGCTTAATGGGATAGGTATTCAAATTGATGCTAGAGATATTAAATCTCCAAGTTATGTTACTTAATCTTTTATGTAAAATGTTGTCAAGTTAACTCCACCGATAAAGCCTTGCATACTCCTTGGTGTCATATTATTTCTGATTTATGACGGGTAAGCCTAGCTGAGTATATTCTTATACTCAGGGCTTATTTCCTCTCGTGTTACAGATGACATGATGTATAATGGGTACTGTAAGAATTGCCTTCATCCTACCATGGATGAGGACTAAACCATGGGGCATGGTACTCCTAAGTTATCCCCTTTGTTATGTTTTTGCTAGGAATGACCGTAATACTGGCATGTATTTGAATTAAGTGTGATGTTGATGTCAAACTACTTTGCTTCCGCTATTTAAACTTGGTTTATAATAACTGTGTGAACTCCGATGTATGTGAGATACTTGTGAACTATTTGTGAACTGTGATGTAACATGTGGCCGGTTGTGTTGAATCATGTATGATCTTAGTTTGTATGTTGGTTTGTTTGAGATCATTCGTGATTTTATCGGACTACCGGGTTTATATGGGCTCAAGTATGACGGTTTGATCGCTTTGATGATTGCTATTGTACTTGTACTCTTATAAATTAGATGGTTCAGTTACAGTCCATATATCAGATCCATCTATCTTTTCTCTTTCTTGCAGAGCCCCTGCCAAACAGCCATTAAAAAACGAGAGTCTAGAGAAGCCGGAGCCACCAAACCGTGATACTCTTCGCAATCCAAACCAAAACTATCAATAAATATGTTTTTGACAATTGTTTCCACGTAATGAGCCAAAGGCCCCTTTAAATCTCTTCCCTTCCTCCCTCTCCCCCGAACACACGGTGCCCTTTCTCCTTTCTCCGAACACACGGTGTCATCATACAGAAAGAGGGCACGCGTAGAAACAAAAAACCAGCCATGGCCGCTGCTCGGTGCTCTTCCCTTGTTCTCATGCTGCTACTGTCCTGCTGCAGCGCCGCGTCCGCCGCCGCGGATGAGAAGCTGAACCACCTCCACTTCTACTTCCACGAGGTCGTCGCCGGCGCGCCTAACGCCACCGTCGTCAAAGTCGTCAGCCTGCACAAGTACGTCTCATATATATCGTTGACATTACTAACCACGCATGATCATGATGTGTACACTAAATTAAAGCTGCATGCGCGCGTGTGGCTGTGGCTGTCGTCGCTGCAGGGGCGCGCCGGCGTTCGGGGACGTGAACGTCTTCGACAACGTGCTGCGTGAAGGCCCGGACCCCGCGTCGCGGCTCATCGGCAGGGTGCAAGGCTTTGGGGTGAACGCGTCGCTGGACGGCTCCAGCATATTCTCGGCCTTCGACTTTGTCTTCTCCGGCGACTACGGGGAGTACAGCGGCAGCACGCTGACGGCGCAGGGCCAGTACGATCCTACGGGGGGACCCTCGGAGCGCAGCATCGTGGGCGGCACCGGCAAGCTCCGGTTCGCGCGAGGGTACATGAAGAGCAGGCTGGTGAGCTCCACCAACACCACCATCGTCGTCGTCTTCGACATGTACTTCACCCTGGCCCAGTGATCGTCAATCGATCCGTACGTCCTTGCTTTCGATCCCAACAAAGATGATCGCAGCGTCTTGCTTAATTTTGGATTTGATATATGTTTGTGGCGTTGCTGCGGGGATTTTATCGTGTAACACGGAGATTTTGTAGCAGTGTACATGATGACGGTGAGAGAAATATTCCTTTCTTTTTCATGATTGTAGCTCGATATGTTGTAATGGAACGTAACGATCCATGTTGAGTAAAGCCTAACAAAACGCCTGCGTTTAAAACGCCTATCAATCAAATACATGGCTTGATACATAAAATACATGTATCTGGTAATATGACAAAAGATGAAAGCATCTAACTACTCACGTGTAACCTGTAAAAACACATTGTGTAGTTCCTTAGGTCATGTCTTGGTCAAAAAAGACCGCAATTATAGTTTAGATTTTGTCAAAAAAAAAGCACACATAAATATACAACAGACATAGGGTATCAGTTGTGGGACCCATCTGAAGAAAACCAGCGCACGTCATTATCAAAAATATCTTCCATCTGAGATAAAAACAAAAGATATCTTCCATCTCACGTTAAAAAAATTGCCACCCCTATATAAAAAAAAATCAGCCACAACATTATTAAAAAAATAAAAAATCAGCCACGATATTACCTCGCGCTGTCGTCACGCGTGATCACGTGGACGTGCGGGTGACCTCTCATCCGCTCATTCATCTTCCTTTTTGCAGCACGGAACTGTTTCCGCATCGGACCTCCGCTCAGATCCCCTTCCTCTGTTTTTCTTCCCCTTCCTGATGTGACCCTCATTCGCAGGCATGTGCTCAACGGCACGGATCAAGATTGGCCGCAGTCGAACAGCTGCCCGGGGCTGGAACCGGGGCTCTACCGCCAGCAAGGTTGCGGACGGGGCGAGCGAGTCAGGCGATGCTCCGCAGGCATCACGCAGGCGAACGGGCCTGACAACGCAGCGCCGCCGAGCGGGGCGAAACCCAGTGGAGGTCCATCTTTGGTGATCCTATGCAGGAGCCTCACCACGGCCGAGGTAGAGCGCGATATCCCGCCTCTGGGGACGTCGCGACGGCTGAGCTGGAAAAAGCCCGACGGAGGCGGCGTGATGCGGTGCGGCACTACCGAGCGCCGAGCGGGGCAGGACATGGCCGAGGCGGAGCGGGCTGGCCGGTGAGTGTAGCCGAGGCGGAGCAAACTTGTTTAAACTGGACTCTGGCGATGACCATTCGTTTTCGTGCATGCATTTGCAGCTGCAGTTTCTGGTGGCAGAGGAACGGACTGTGCGTTGCGGTAGAGGAATGGATAGTGGAAAGGAGAAACGGGCAGTCGAAAGAAGAGGAGTGACGTGGCTTAAGAAGAAGTCAGGAAAATAGGGTAACGAGTATTTAGGTATAGGTTAAAATAGATTGAAATAAATTTTAGATTAACATGATCTTAACTTAGATTAAACATGATCACTAACTTATCTTAATGTGGAAACTAATCTTAGATACTAATTAGAGCATGTGAATGCCATCTGTGCCGCTGGAGATGTGATTGAGTTGATGTAGATGAAGTAGGTGTACTAATCTTCATCAATTGAGAGTTCGAACTCTCTTTTGATGAAGAGCTTGGTGTAGATCTGCAGCAACAGTACGTGGACGTGGGAGACGGCCTTCCTAAACCCTCCAGCGCCTTAGCGACCGGTTATGTGATTTGTTTTACGAGGATGGAACCGTCAGGGGCGTCTCCTCTTATCTACAGATGCGTTGTGGGCCAGGGGGCCGAACCCTAGAAGATCTAAGGGTTCGCTGCCGATCACGGTAGATCTTATTTAGTTGGAAATAAATGACAGGTGGACCAAAAAACTTAATGCTTAATTAATCTCGTAATTAAGTTCGGGATTAGCTGAACAGATCACATTCCAACATTCCCTCACTTGATCGAATGGCTAAGCACTTATGTGTGGCAGAACCTTCCGAAATAACACGCTTTCGGAGATGCTCGTCTTCCACTAGACACTAAGCACTCCAAGAGTTAGCTACATCGGACAGTTCCATCGAGCACACCCGAAGGGAGAATTCAAAACAATCCACGCTTTACATTCAGAATCCAATAGTGAGTACGAGTTTTCAATACTTAGTCCATTTTATACAACAAGAGTTCTTGAAAATTATTTATTACAATACTAGAGTTCAGAGTGCGGTAATTAAACAGCGGAATTGAAATAAACGTCTAACGAAACGATACAAGGATCCATCTGTGCCAATCAGAAGAATCATCCACACAAGAGCTACTCCTCAAGATACACCTGCAACAGGGGTAAATAAACCCTGAGTACACAATATACTCGCAAGACTTAACCGACTAGTAGGAATAGTTTCTCGACTCCAAGGGTATGATAGGCAATATGGGTTTGTTGGTTTTTTTGTTTGCGGAAAGCGTTACTAATAGTTTATCCTTACAGTCAAGTTTTATTAGCAGTCATGATTACTTCATTAGCTAACCATTCTAAGTAAGCACATGTTCTACTTTCAAGCAAGGGTTGAGTAATCAGAACCATTTTACCATCTTTTATCTTCTAGTTCTTACTATGGTGCTAGACCATAGCCAAGTCGTACTGTCTCACGGAAACGGCGATTCATGAACAAATGTATCCCAGCTGGGTACCCCGAAGCACATGCCTCGTTTATACCCTAGGCACAAACAAGACCAACCCATTCCACTCTGTCATGGGGTCTAGGTCCCGTCTAAACTTGGACTCAAGCCCTCACTCTTGAGACAAAGTCTCAATATGGTGCTTAGATCTCCACCTTTTCCCGCCTCCAATTAGCCGGTCCGGAAAGAGCCAAAACACACGACAATAGCGTAACGAGCCTTCCCGCTCCCATAAGCAAGTATGTGCTCAGGATAATAAGTCTATGACTACCATCCACAGCAACGGACGGTCCTCAATCGACACGGACAGAAAAAATAATGTAACCAAGCTAAGCCTCGTGGCCGCGGGACATAACTCGTTACACCCACCAATACCCATACTATATCCCTGTCCGGTCACCATTTTTTCTTCCATCATTTTATTATGAGAATAATAGTAGTATTCACCTACTTGTGAGTAACGACAGGTTATCCACGCTACCGATAAATCTAAGCATAGCAGCTAGTCGATCCTGCGCTAGTAAGACTCATATGATAGGTATATATATGCATGTGGTTTTCATAAAATTTGTGTAACATAAATTCACATCACACACACACACATATATATATACATATATATATATATACATATATATATATATATACGGTGATTATAAAAAATAAGAGTTATGCACCGGGGCTTGCCTTGGGCAGGCGCGGTGTCAGCTGAGTCAGTCAGCGGTGGCTTCGAGACCTCTTTCTGTATGAGAATCTCCTCCTCGTACTCCTCGACGATCTCCTCGAACTCATGCTCACCGGTGGTCACAATCTCCGCCAAATCATTCTCTATATGCATGCGATGATAATGACGCAACAATTTAGTATTTAGGCAACAGCAACTCTTAAAATAAGGATACACATGTTAAACTACTAAACTAGCTCTAATGACTAAGATACTAAGCTAACTATCATTCTCGTCCAGCAAAGTATTGAGTTCAACTAACAAGCACCTAGTTTCGCAAATCAATGGTATGCCTTTATTTCCATTAAAGATTTAATGTAGATTTAAACAAGGAACATTTAATTACCCTAATGTTTATTCTAGTCTAAGGCTACAAAAATTATAGTGAGCACATAATAATACAATGAAGCTACTGTAAAAATTTTAGGATCAAAGCTATCACCAATTTACCAAAAAAATCCTACAATAATTAACCTAACAATATTAAACACTTTCAAATGATTTAATAGCTCTCCGCATCAAAACAGATATGTATAAACCAACTACACTAACAAATAGACAATAATTTGTGGAACCTAACAAAAATTAGTTTCATGATTTTTGGACACCTATACGATTTTATATTAATTAAACAAAAATTGGCTCACAATTAAAAATAAAAAGCTATTTCTAATTCTTTACGAAAAAGAGGAAGCGAACTGGCCCAGCGTGGCCCAATGCGGGCGCGGCCCACGCGCGGAAGCGGCCCATAGCGGGAGAGACCGCGCGCGCTGGCGTTTTTACAAAAGAAACCTCATACTTGCTCCAAACTACGTCACTATCTTTTCACTATTTCTTTCTTTCTCTGACCTTTGCACTTAACCCCCTAGGTTTTTCTTAATTCTTTTGCGCATGCCCCTCAGGCAGGGCGAGCGACGGTGTGGCGAGCACTGGCACTGGCCGACCACGCCAGCCATCTAGGGTTCGTGCGGACCTACCTAAAGGGCCGACCGCCATCTACGACCTAAGCGCCTACACTAAGAGGTGGTGAGGGGCAGTGGGATGCACTAGAGCGGGTGGCAGCGGTGCACGCGGCCGTCCACGGTGGCGGTGCAGTCATTCTGGTACACTAGGGCGTCTATAGGCCTAACCAACTAGTAAGAAAGCATCAGGAGCTTACTGTGGACCTGGTCGAGGTGATGGTTCGGCCGAGACTACCTGAGCGGGGCTGGCCACGTGCGAGCGGCGAGCTCGACGATGAGCCATGGTGACACGGCCATGTCAGCGGCGCTGGGACAGCGGTAGAGGTATAACTGACGAGCGCATGATGAAGAGGGACTCAAGGTGAGGATAGTGGTGCAGCTGGTTGAGCACGAACGGCTACTGGGGAAGGGTTGCCACCACGCCGGCCAAATATGGCCTTAACGGCTCGGGCATGATTTAAGGCGGGGTGGGGTCGATTAGCAAGACGACTTAATGGGAGAGCCAGGGACGTGATGAATCAGGCGATGGTGACTCAACCACGCCGAATTTGATGGTACGGCTCGGTGGCCATGGCAATAGAGAAGAGAGGGGGGCAGGTCTGGCTCGGCTCATCCTCGCCTTGGCGAGATGTGACTTCCTGCTAGCGGAATGGCACACGTGCGCGTGCTATGGGCTAATGTGGATAGAGGGAACGTGCATGTGTGTTCCCAGCCGAGACCAAGCCAAGTGCGGCACATCGCCATAATGGCGAGAAGACGGCGCAGGGCAGCAAGGGCTTGCCCACGTGCGCGGTAGCGAGAAGTAGTTGTAGCTGCCACAGCATGGCAGTGCGAAGCAAGGAGGGCAGCAGCATGCAGGGCAACAACGGCAGTAGGTAGGGCAGCGGTGGCCTACGGGGCACCGAGGCCCGTGGCTGGCCGGCAGCGGGCGCTGCGGTCGGAGCGACCAAGCCACAGCCAGCCATGGCTGAGCCAGTCGGCCTCGGTTCGGTCGGTCAAGATGGCAAATACGTCTGAACCAGGTGCACGCATGGCGATGTAGATGTAGAGCACCGTGGACGTGGAGACATGCAGCGCGCAGCTGGCCGGTCAACCAATGATTGTGTGCATGCACGAATTTTAAAGCGTCCGTAAAAACTAAACTATCATAGTTGAAGCTAAACCACCTTTCACTATGCTAAAGAGGGCATATCAGGCTACCCATAAAGGCTGGAACATGGTACAGGTCTTAGCTAGATTGTTCAGAATTAATTTGCGAACTTGGTGTTGTCAAGTTTGTATTTAGACTTAGTAACTTCTCAAGTTTGGCTGATTTTAAATTTCAAGTTCCATTTCCAAGCCATTGAAAATACGATCTAGCAATATTATTTTTCTACAGCAAGAGTTACATTGTCATTTACAAGTTTGTGCTTTAAACTTTATTAAGGTGTCACACACATGCTCTATAATGTTTTTGCTTAATAAAAATTGATTTCCAACCCTACTTGATACAACATGAGCTTTGAATCAATTTTCATTTAACCTTTTTATTGGTCATTTTAGGCTAAAAAATTTATATACACACTTTATCACATGCATTATCACATAAACATGATGCTTATGACATGATTTGGTAGTTTGTTGAGGGCGTAGCACCGAGTGTGTTATATTATGCAAGTAATGTTCGCCTTACACTTATGTTCACACTCGGTTCTACAATAAGACCAGACCAATGTGTCGTCGGTAGCATTAATCGCCACTAAGACCCCATTAACCATAGTTCACTGTAATACATTGTTAGAACGCTTATTACTTATTGGGAGTATATGGCCTGTTACCAGGAATCAAGTTAGAGACTCTGCACTAAAACTCAAATATATTTGCGCGCTTATAGATAAGCGTTAAACATCAAATATTCAAATATGCTAGCATCAACTTAGTTCTTATTTTTCACAAGCTTAATAATTTGATCTTGGGTTCTTTCTTTCACAACATTTAATCATTGTGCTTGGCATCAGCATTTGATCTGTTGTTACTTAAAA